TATATATAAAAATTACATTTACATTTGTACCGTTAACATACATATTTTTCAATTGAATTTTTTTAACCATTTATTTTTCTTTTTTTCTCTTTCACAGTGTACAAAAAAGTTAGCAAAATTATTTTATAGTTGCACATATACTGCAAAAATGATAATTTCTGCTAAATGTATCTAGTAATTGATTGTTGCACCAGAGGAATATTGAAAACATCGAAATATCAAAGGAAATGCTCCAGCCTCAACTAGATCGATTTATTAACAGCGTGTGTGGTGTGTGGCAAAAACATTACAAGAACAAGGCCACTGCTACTTTAGAACCCATTTTAAACCAGCACAAACACACACACTCCACTTGCCATTGTCTGCTGTAAAAGCCCAAGTCGCCAATGCATACCATCGAGGTCTCCATGGAGGGCTGTATACTGCGAAAGCTGGGTCAGAGAAGGATAGAATGGGATGGAGTGCAAGGAACAGAGATAGAGTTGACAAAATCACATTAGCTTGGGTGAATGATTAGGACAGCGAGTTTGCAACTAAATGGTCCTCCTCCCAAAGAGGCCTCCTGATCCCTACTGCCTTTACGAACAGCGTCCCACTGAGACTCTGCTATCATCAATGTACTGTTATTAATACAACTGCTCGCTCACCTGGAGTCCAGTTCCCTCTGTAAACACGGAGGAGAGACCAGAAGTGGTGACGGGCCTCGGGAAGACATCTGTGGAGAGTAAAAGAAGTAGAACTTAAAACCTAACCAAAGTTGAATGGAAATACGGAGACCACAATCTACGCCTTTTAGCATTTTAGGATTTCCCCTGAAGTCCGCTTATAATGTTAGTCAAGATTTCTTGCACCAAAAAACAAACAATGTAATTTTTCCACATTGTCTCTGACAATTTCAAATGAAAGATTTTTGTTTTTGAAAGAAATTCAAATTCAGTTATTTTATTTAGCAAGTATGCATTAAACTGTTCAAAAGTGACAGTAAAACATTTAAAGAGTTACAAAAGATTTCAAATAAATGCTGTTTTTTTTTTTTAAACTTCCTATTTATCAAAGATAAAAAATGCATTATAGTTTCCACAAAGCAGCACGAATGACTTCTGTGACACTGAAGACTGGAGTAATGGCTGCTGTAAATTCAGCATTGCGTCACAGGAAATTTTTACATATTTTTTTATTAATTACGTATTTTTGTATTTTTAATAAACACAGCCTTGGTGAGCATAAGAGACCTCCTTCAAAAACATTAAACAAATCGTACCAACCCCAAACTTTAAATGGTAGTGCATATAGACTTCTATATATAAATTATTATTGGCTAATTTCTTCACATGTAAAACTACCCACTCTGTTAATGTGCTTATGGTTGCAACATTGTGATGATTTCTGAATGACCTGTTTTTCCATAAATGATCTGGTTGTACTAGGAAGGGAATGTAAGCGGAATTCAAAAAAAGCAAGATCATGCAGTTTTTCTCTGATATGACCCGTTTAAAACCTTGAACAGTACCTGTAGCTCTGATCTGACAATGTCAGAGTATGCTTTATGCGTCGGGGCTCTTATTTTTCGAGTGCCATTAAGATCTTCTTCACTGCTGCCAGACAGCAACATATCGTTGGTCACTGAAGAGACACAGAACCACATTCAGGGTCAAATTCATCTAGTAACGGTGACTAAAACATTAAAATAGTAAAATTAAGTTTTACTCAAAGGTACCTTGAGAAAGGGCCAAGCTGTCCTTCAATTTTCTGTATTGGACCAACAGAAGATGGAGTTCCTCTATGTGTCGATCCTTCAGAAACAAAATGGAGTTGATGTTTAGTCTATAAACAAACCCCTCTACCCGTTACAAAATGCATGCTGCTTCCTGCAGATTTTGGACCTGTTAATAAATGCAAAGTGCACAGATGCTGACTTACCTTTTCATTATTGGCAGCTATTAGCGTCTCCATTCCAGTTTTTAACCTCTGCAGCTCTTGATCTGGAACATAAAGAGCAAAACTCAGTTAATATATGCACCATTACATCATTATGGCAGTGTTGGGGAAGCTAGTTTAAATTATAAGTAGCATTAGACTTTCAATGTAGTTAGACTACAAGCAAGATTCGCTAATATGCAGTTACATACACTAATCTACTTGCAAAAACAAACTTCATTAGATGATTTTTTTTAGATATCAAACTCAGAGTTTAGATTCAACCCTAATTAAACACACCTGATCCAACTAATCAAGTCCTTCAGGCTTATTTAAAAACTACATGGTATGTGTGTTGGAGCAGGGCTGGAACTAAACTCTGCAGGGCTCCGGCCCTCCAGGAATTGAGTTTGACACCCCTGATCTAAATGATATAATTCATAATTTGATCTGAGACATATATTTCTGACTCAAAAACCAATGGAAGTTTTGAACAAATGAACACTGATTAGGTTGACAGCATCAAAACTGAATGTGTAAATTTACAATAAATACAATACTAGAATACACCCTAATTTAAATGAACATAGATATGCACAGCAGATTTAATGAAATATTCTGGAGTATATGAAAAACATTTAGGACAAATTGATTGACTAGAAAGAATTCGACTTTGATTTACTAGAATGAATGAACTTTTCTGAACTACAGTTAAGCTAAATAAAATGTTGCTACTTTTAGTTAGTTACTCATCCAACACTGCATTGTGGTGACACACTTCATTTACAAAACACACTGAGAGATGATGTTGAGGTAAACCAGCCCTCCAGGGAAAAAAAAGTCTCTGTTGTTAAGTGACAGTCCAGAAAAGTTCAGAAAGACGTGATGGTCTTTCTGAAGGTTTGCACTCTTTAAAACAACATTCTCTCTAAGTGTGTACATGCTTGTCCAGGTTGACACATGCTTTTTAGCCAAGCAGTGATTTATTTCAAGACTCATGCTCAGACAAACTGCCTCTGTCACGTCAGTTACCTCAACATCATCCTGCAGCATTAACCTGGTTAGAGCTGGCTGACCACCTCAGCTAAATTAAGTGAACCAGCTACCATGTTTGAAAAACCAGCATGACCTCCTTAAACTAGTATGACCTAGTATTTCCAGCAAGGAAACCTTCCTTCACAACACCATATATAGAAATAAATTTATTATTTTTTATACTTTATAGTATACATTTTTATTAATAATATTTTCTAATTATTGTGCAATATATTTAACATCACATAATAAAGAATTACAAATAAAATCTAATAATTCAATATTATAAATCAATTTATAATATTATATTTGCTTTTTTTAAATGTATAATATAATATTTTATATATTACATTTGAAACTTTATACTGCATACTTTAATTATTATTAATATTATTTTCTAATTGTGTATTACATTTAACTTCACATATACAAAGGTTTACACCGTCTTTTCACACACTGTGATGACTGAGTAATACTTCACAGTCAATAAAATACACCCACTATTGGGCTGTTAATAATGCACAAATTATGAGATTAACTGCTAAAATGTGCTAAAATGAAGTTCAGCAACATACAAAACATAGTAGCTGTGAGTAGTTGATTCATCCTTTCTTTGAACTGGCCCTGGTACTATATTAATGAGTTTTAGCTCACAGACCCATGGGAAAGCAAAGAGTGGCTGCGGGGTGTGACGAGCATGATTCAGCCACTTAACACCCACTCCACACACACACACACACACACACACACACACACAATCAAACACATACACGCTCTCACACACTCACACTGCATACACACACACACAATCAAACACATACACGCTCTCTCACACACACACACTGCATGCTCAAAACACACAGGGGGACAGCATGGGAGGATCTGAAATGTGACTTTGAAATGTGCGCTTACGTTTGTCTCTCAGCTTTCTCTTACACACTTCCTCTACAACAGGAAGTGGTGAAGAGCGGAGGTAGTGATTACCAAAAAGATCCATATGTTAGTCATTTCAACACACACACATAAACATTTTTCAGCACACATCGTCACTCCCATGCAGCTAGTATTTGGTACTTTCCACAAACAGGGTAAACATCAGTGTCAGATTATTATATTATACAAAGCAGCAGAGGCATAAAAAACTGTGTGAACACTATTATAGACTGTATGATAGATAAATTATCATCTAATGTAAAATTAATCTAGCATCATCCTTGTTACCCATGTTATCATAAGAATTTTTTTTATTTAATTTAATTGATGGGAAATAGAAGTTAATTTCAAATCAACATTTGTTCTTAAACTTAATTTTGGCTAAATTTGCAACCCTGTTACTCATTTCTGCATACACACACACACACACAAACTTATTTAGAAATGCATACATTTTGTCTATTTGATTTTGATGTTTCTTTGATGTTTATTGCTAGAAAATAGCAAAATTCAACAGTCAAACTAATCAGGGTTTAAAACCATCCTTAAGACTTCATTTTTAAGGGTTTCAGGTCCTATTTTGTACCTTATTAGTGGAAAGTGTCTTTTATTAATGTAATGCTAAATTATTCTGCACTAAGGCCTCAGTAGGCCTCACTTCAGCAACCGTTAGGATTTAATCTTCTTAGAGGTACCTCTCTCTGTGATGTCATTGTTGATGGTTCCTCGGGACAGAAGCTGATTCTGTAGACACTCGATTTCAGCATTCTTCGTAGCAAGCAGCTGCTGGAGTTTGGCAATCTCAGTCTAAAAAAACACTTTAGCAGATTAGCACATTTCAGATCACAGTGAAAATATCTTTAGATTAAACCACCATTTTATTAACATTTTCATTTAAGAAAAAAGAAAACAAGGTCCACAGTTTACACAACGGTGTATCTTAATATGAATGCTTTTTGGGAGAACAGGGGAATCTGACACTGACAACACAAAAGTGACAGGCACAATAGGGTTAAATACAGGTTAAAATGACCTTCCCCATTTTGGGGGGTGATAAATGGTACATTCACACTTAAAAACACCCACTATATTGTCACAAAATAGGGAAAAAAAAGTTGGACTACCACAAACAAGTAAGATTTTTCGGTTTCATATGTAGAATATTGCTACCGTTCATATCCACCTTTTTCTTGTCGTAAAAATGGGCACGGCCATTTGTAAATTCTATGGGTCTGGCTTCCGGTCTCATCTGCATCCACTCCGTCCAGCTATTTTTAGCTGAACAAAACAGTTCGTTTTGCTGCTTGATATTGAAAGTTGGTGTGTCTTATCATATTATTTGAATGTATTATCTGAATTATGAACACACTGGTTTGTAGTGCAAACAGTTTTACCGTTTACTGCACGTTGTTATTCTCCTCGTTATTTACCTATAGCGGCTAATGAACCGGAAGTCTCACCAACAGGCTTACTTCCGCGTTGAAGAAAAAGGTGGATACCACCACCAAAATGCTAGCACAACTCTCTGACATGATTTCCCAGAAAACCCATTCAAGTAGCTATGCTGGAACTACAGTAGGCTACAAGGTTGAAAAAAGGCACAAAATTATTTATTTTGAGCTGAATTAACAAACACAAAAACTCTTTCCACACTGTAGCTTTCTAGCTAGCTAAATCAAGATAACAGATTTCAGACTCTCGCATTACATCATCTTGAAGAGATCACACATCATCCCCATCAGAACTTTGAGACTGGCTAAAACTTCTTTGGCAGCAGATTCCTTACATCAGTGTCCTAACCTTGTAAATGCTCAAATGTTAGCACATAGCATGACATATGACCCTCCTGTAATTTCTGTGCCACCAACAGCACCACAAATAAACATTCCCTCATCAGCCATTGTTTAGTCAAACATGAGAGAAGGTTGCGTGGGTAGTAACAGGCAAACATGACTAAACTAGGGAAAAAGGATTTGTAGTATTTCATTACAGGCTATAGAAGACAATAAGACATGATGAAATGTACATAAAGAATGTGCTGTATGTACAGATATAGTGTGTGAATCTGTTTACATCCCAACTGCTCAACCCTTGTTCCCAAGATGGACAGTCCCGACAATCTACCAGAGAATGAAGTCATACGAACCCAAACTAACGAGCAAGTACTCACACAAACAGAGATAGATGATCTATAGTAACCCTTCCACATGTTCAGTTTCCCTACACTGCTCATTTCCACACATAATGTGGTTTAAAAGATTGCCGCTAGACCATGTGGAGCTCTATCCTTGGCTAAAGCTCTTGAGCAATTGCAAGCCGTCTAAACGGGTCACCATTAAAAACTGGGGATCATGAAGCTGCAAGATTATCGTAAAATATTTAGTGAAGAGCTTGTCAACAACTGACCGAGTACCAATCAGTTATGTAAAACGGGTGTCTAATCTCTTTCTTGGAGGGCCACCTTCCTGCAAAGTTTACCTCCAGCACATCTCCCTGAAAGTTTTGAGTGATCCTCAAAAGTGTGATTATGTGGTATAGGTTTGTTTAATTGGGGTTGTAGCTAAGCTCTACAGGATAGTGGCCCGGATTGGATGCCCCTGACATAAAACAAATATAGATGGAAGAGGGTTCAAGAGGCACAAGGACTGGGAGCTCGGAGAGGCATAACAACCAAAGGAGTGGACATTTTCAAGGAACTATGACAAAGCTTGGAAAATGTAGACTTCCTGAGCAGAAGTGGAAATATTATGAAATCAACCCTGTCTTAAATGGCACTCTTGATGCAAACTTGCGGTCATGTGGTCTTTCATTTTTGGGTGTCCCTATGGTCCACGAGACCGTAGGTTGTCCCATTTTATGATTCAAAAGGGTACTCCCCATGTGTCATCAACAGATCTTGAAGGAAGCTATAGTGGTCAGTTATCCAGCAACATTACGTCATGTGAACTCAAAGGACCGCATGGACTGAGGGTGCCATTTTGGGACAGGGCCATCATCACCCTCTCCTTTGTGTCATACTACTCAGGGAGGATGACAAGGGATAAGGAGGGGGAGCAGGGTTAAGCACCTGAGCTGTCCGACAGCTCTCCTCCCAATGCTGTCGTTCTACCTGAGTGTGCTCGACCGTGAGCTTCAGTGTAGAAAGCTTGGTCATGAGCGACTGGTAACAGACATGGAGGGAATAGGTGATAGAAAGCTGAAGGAAGAGAAAGCCAGAGGGACGTTCATTATGCTAAGAGCTTAAGAGATTGTGAGAGTGCAGTGAACAATTGAATAAAAAGTATGTATAGAAGAGTTACGGGATCAGGGCAAGAAATTGCATTGACAAGAGTTTGCATTTAAGGTTAAGCCAATATGGCTAAAGAGACTGTTAGTAAATGCTGATAGGGCAGTTAAAGTTCATAATGAACAATACAGAACGACAAGATACTAGACTAAAGGCTAATAGGAGTCCAGATTAAATATGCATTACCTTAGTGGCTTTGAGCTTCCTTTCATATTGTGATTTCTCACCCTCCAGTTCTTCAACTTTGCTCTTAAGGCGGCTAAGCTCTTGTAACAAAGCCTGATGAAAAAACAGAAACAAAGAAGAACAAATTACACACCACCTTGCAGTGGCAAATATCCAACCATTCTGGCAACTGCTCCTGGAAAAACTATGCTTCTGTCTAAGGTACAGAGCCCCTAAATTGACTTTGCAGAAAAATAAAACCCTGAGACTTTCTTGTGCATGTGGAAAAATGTTCTTGTGTGCACTCGAAAGTTCTATGGGCTTTTTTCCTACAAATTCCACTTCAGGGGTTCCATGCTAAGGTCATTCATATCAATACAAAGGAATTCAGGAGAAAGGGTTTGGACTGACCCATGAAACCCACACACCGTGCAGTTAAAACACAAGAAAGCTCTGGAGAGTCCTGGAAAACCTTATTAGTTTCTTAAAAAGATAACTTGGGTCCTCAAAAACTGCCCAAATTGATCAAGGAAAAGAATCTAATAGAGTCACCACTAAGCCCACAAAACTTCTGGAAGCTCTCTGGATCTACGCAGCAACCGTTAGCGTTAGTGAACTTCCATCATGCAGGTTTACACCCAAAATAATTAATGACATTCTGTCATCGGAACACACTGCAAACACCAGTAACCATGAGATTCCCACAGTTGAGTCCACAGACAAATTGGATTCACTGTAGGAAGAGGCCGTTAGTAGTAATTCCTGTTGAAGTGTCCAAAAGTGAGATGGGGGAATGGTTATGTTTTAGGATAAAGCAAGGAGGTAAAAAGGCGGTCTTGAAGTAAGTCCACCACATAATGAGGATCTGCCTACATTCTCTCCTCTACTTCTACAGCAGCAGCTGCATTCCTCAGCATCAGAGGCACCAGGGCCCACATCGGGGCTCTGGTCGAGAGCCTCGCGTGTGCCACTGTCCCCCAGGCTCTCCAGGGCTCGCTGCTCCTGGATGCGATTGCTGATTTCCTCCTGGAATTTACACATCTGCTCCTGTAGTTCACTAATTAGATTAACCACACTCTGAGAGAGCAAAAACAAGAAAGCCAGAAAAAAGGAAAACGTTGATCAGATTTGGAAACACGGTTACACATAGACATAGGTGGTCTTATGACTAATCGGAGTTCTCTGAATAGGCATATTCATTTTTGGCTTTGTGGACTTTAGGTTTTAGAATCTAATAAGTCACATGTCCACTCCAGACAAGTATTTCTGGAGGTTCAGGTTCAGTTTTCTTTAGCATTTGGCCCTGTGGACTTTTAGAAAAGAAATTCTCTTAAAACAAACTTAAAAAAAAAAAAAATAAATCTGTCCACAACCAATGCCCAACAGTGTGTATACACATACCTTCCATGTTGTCAGCATTTTTTAATGTTTTATGCTTGAAATAACGTTCTTCTGTATAAATGGTAAAGGTGGTGAAGGGACCTGCATTGTGACCTACTGTTTGCCGGTAAAAAAAATTTACTGACCTACTTTTCAATTTAAAGAAGGGTCTATATGAGGACAAGCTTTTCTGGGAACCAATATACTGCATTTCAGAGGATAAAATGCAGGTGCTTGTGATTCAAATAAATGTTGGGCATCTGTAATACTTAATCTGTGACGTATGACGGTACCATGCACCAATTACAAGATCTGACTTTAGCAAGGAGCATGTTAATGTTCAGTTTGTTTTTCACTTGTGAACAAGTGAATGATTAGTCAGGCTAATCTTGGCTATTCTGACAGAAATGCAAAGGCTGTCAGCCAGCGGAAGTTTAATATGATATTCCTTGTTGATGCTAAAGCTGATGATAAGGCACACGTTCCACGCTTATATTTAGCTCTATGCTGAAGGTTTGAGAGTGGAGGAGATGTGTGTGGTGAAAGTGTTTTGCGCCTGTGGTATGTTCAAAGTGAATTTCAGCCTTTCCGTCCTGTTGAATGGAGCCTTGCAGCTGTCACCCTTTAGGCCAGTGTTTGTTGATGCAACAAATGCAAGGACAGCTCTGTTACCACAGAACGAAGAGTGTGCAGTAACATTATGGATTTATGAGAAAAAATTTAAGAAAGAAGCCTTTCCTTCGCTTTTTGCTTCATTTCTAAAGGTGAATGACACCCATTGCAGATATGTGTTAAAAAGCATGTGCATGTTGTGTGCAGCTGAACACTCGTCAAGACAAGCACTGAGCACTTCTGGCATCTGTCATTTTGTGCTCATCAAACTGCCTGTCACTATCTCCCATTTAGGCCCACCGCATGCTTTTGTGTCTCTACTGATTAGCATCTTCACTTATCAGCACACTGCCTTTTTGGCACTGGGAGCATTTGTGGTACGTGGGGTTGGAATGTGTGTGTGTACATATCTGAAAATCATGTTTCTGTAAGCACACTGTCAATGTGGAAAGGCTGAGTCTCTGTGATAGCCCGACTCAAACGAATGTCAAAGACATAACAATGAGACAACTATTGGCTCAGAGTCAAACTCCTTCCTGTTTTTGGTCTCTTTGAGTCCTTGGTATACTTACCTGAAATTAAACACCAGGAGAATGTTCACATACTAATTGAGAAATTGAAAAGCCTTCTAATGACTAATGACTTTTTCAATATAGACTGCACTCACAAAGAACAACTTTAAGCAGATGAAACATTTTGAGCCGAGGATACCAAGACAAATGTATATTCACTATGAAAATTCCCATGACTTTAAGCTTCTGTTAATATTAATGGCTCTTCAAGGCTTTGATTTCTCTGATAGTTCCAGGTTTTCCAATGGCTGTGGGAAACCCGTTCACTTGCTGTTTGGGAAAATGTTTTGAAAAAGGAACCATTCCATCTTTAGACAGAAAGCCAGAGATTTAGTATGCTCAAGAAAAATAAAGCACAGAACAGATGCTCCTTTAAAGTCTCTGCTTAGTCTGTTGGCTCGGCACACAGTGTATTACACTGCGAGTCTGAGAAGTAATTAGGTGTTAAGAGGCGATAAATCTACAGGATCTACATATACACACCACAACATAAACATGCCACCATGACTTCCCTGTCCCCTAGTTATGTTTCCATGCACCATATGGAAACATCAGATTAAATATCAGCTCAAAACCTTTTGAGCATGTTTACTGATCTTGTATTTCAACATGACGCTCTTGGTAACCACAATATTGTGCCTGAAATCAGTTTCTCTTCTATAGAACCATACACTTTTTTATTAATACACCTCTAAATGTATTTAACAACACATATACTGACATGGCTGCTTTCTGTGTGTGTGGTTTCAACTGAATTAGAGCCAACAGGTGGACAACAAAGACCTCAAAAAGACCTAAATAGCATCATTCAGTCAACCAAAATCATTCCTAGTCAACAAATCTAAACAAGTATAATTATTTAGAGAACTACAATAATATGATTTTAAACAAATACCATCTCTTAACAGATGAACCCATTGCCCTGTATGAACTGACAGACTGATACAGTACCTCGGCTTTATGATGTTGCTCCTGTTCATCAATGTGGTTGTGTTCCTCCTCCATGCTGACTAGCTTGAGTTTCAGATAGGAAACTTCATCCATGAGTTCCAGTTTCTGCGTCTCCAGTGAGGTTCGGCTGAGGAGCTCCTAAAGCACATGCACACACATTAGCGAACACATGGTGACACACAAATACACCCACACAGTTGTACTGTATACAGTAACAATCACACGGCACACAGACGCTCCTCGCTGCTCCACTGGCCAAGTTCTCTTACAGTAACGGTAAGTTATGCCGAAGCTAAGCGCCACTAAATATACTCAAGCAATGAACGCTATTTTTACTTCCTCTGCCTCTCTGGTGCCTGCATGTGAGAAAGTCAGGAGGGCCAAAAGAGGGAAACTTTGTTTCTCAGCATTCCTGATACTATGGGCTAAATTCAGCAGGACACGGAGAACCTTTGCTAACCAGTGTTTAAAAAGGGCATAAATTGTTTTGTGCACATAAGAAAACCTAAAAGCATTGTGGTGATATGATGATGGTATCAGATGGTAAAACTGTGGTATTTTGATATTTACTATTGTGCCGAATGATTACAATATTCCTACAGTATACCTTGAAAAACTACACAGTATTACAATGGTATCAGGTAAAAAATGGTCTGCCTCATGAACTTTTGTTTAGTAAATAGTTTGCCAAATGTATTAAATTCCCCCAAAATCAGTGCAGCAAAAAAAAAAAAAAAAAATGTGTCTGGTCCTAGTTATGCCTCATACTTTGACCAGAATTACCCTCAAACACACTGATGATTTTTTTTAAAAATCGCACAATCACTTCCTCTTTCACCTTATGTACTTCCCCCTTGTAGTTTCTAAATCAGAACACAAGTCCCTTGCCATTCTAACTATCAGAAAGCTCAGATGGTGTGCTCATGTCTCTAAATCTATTTTCTCATACTTAGTTTAATCTAGTAGTATGTATGTCAAGTGAGTCCCAGACATAGTGATGTTGGATGAAAACCAATGAATGCATCATAAAGTTTCTTGGTATATCGATGATCTCTTGCTTCTGTATAATACAGTGGACATGAGTCACAATCAGCCACCAACATCACAGATCATGGAGTCCAGCAATGGTTTTCAAGCTTTTCTGCTCCAAAAACCCTCATTGGCCACAATAAAAATGTAAAGGCTCCACAACTTTTCCAGCTGTTTGGGATTTACTGGATAAGAATTACATTACTACAACATATTACTAGAGTACACTAGAACACTCTAATTAACATTTCTCTTCAACAAATCTCTAAAACATTTCTACTCAATATAAATTAAAAATGTTACATATTACACTTACATATTATTGCTCTTTTGTTGGTTTTGATTGCCTTTTATTGTCCTCATTTGTAAGTCGCTTTGGGTAAGAGTGTCTGCTAAATGATTACATGCAAATAAATGTAATGTAAATGTAATATAGAGTTTTGAATTAATTAAAAATGTATATTCATAAAATGTACAAAAACACCCATGTAATAAGAGTAATAAGACATTACTTTAAATTACTTTATAATTGACATGACTTTTCCAGGTCTAGAAAGAAAAAAAAAAATCACGCTTTTATAATAAGCTCTTTTTTGTTGTTGTTTATTTTAGTTTTTTAAAGAACCACTGGAATAGATTAAGCTGTCACAACCAGAGGGGCACACACTTTTTGCAGTTGAACTCCTATTACCTACTATAAATCATTATTTAAAATATACTTCAAGTTAATGTGATCTAATGTGAATAAAATGAATTTTACAATGTTGCATTTTCACATTTGAATTAATGTGAAATGTTATTTTTCTTATAAAATCACTTTTACTTACTTTTTAATTAATACATTTTAATGAGCACAACTGTAACACAACTATGAGGGCTTACATTAAATTTCTATCAAAATCTCTTGAATCTCCTGCAATTACTTCAAAACCCTCTAGGGGTTCACAAACTTCCACTAGGGGGAAACCCTGGCTTAAACTATCCATAATCAGATAAATAAACTAAAACAGCTCTTTGCACTGTTGGTAAGACAGGGCTACATATTAAAAAGACACCAATGCGTCTCAGCCCAAGCAGGCCTTGGCGAACACCCTGACAAAGTCCTGCTTGGGCTGATATGTGTTGGTGTCTTTTTAAAGGGGTGGTTCACTGGTTTTTTTCTAGGCTTGATTGTGTTTATGGGGTGCAGTCTAACATGTGTTAATTCGTTTAAAAAAAAAAAACGCATTCTTTTTCACATAATTTACATTTATTCCACACCTCTCTGTCTCTTCTGAGAAACGCGCTGATCATTTCCTACTTTTATGAAGCCCCGCCCTCAGAAATAGGCGATGGGCTTTGATTGGTTAGCTAGCCCAGTGTGTTGTGATTGGCTAAACCGCCTCTAGTGCGTGTCTAAACGTCCCACCCCTCACCACAGTGGCATGTCCTCCGGTTGTATTGTAAACAACTGCGTCGCTAATATCGCTTATCAGTTTGAGCCCGGTTTATTGATTATGCTCAAACAGCAACATTACACACTAACTAACATTAAAAAATTGAAATCGCAATCAACCACCCCTTTAATATGTAGCCCTGTCTTAGAATAAAGGCGTTTTACCTTGCTGACTATGTGAGTGCCTGGACGTGGATTTTTTTTTTTGTTGTGCAAGGATCCACCTATTATAAAGAACTATGGTATTTAAGAAAACTGCCATGACTAAGCTGAAAACTTCCATGACTAAGAGAGTTTACTTGCCCCATCAAGCAAAGAAAACATGAGGGCTCTCTCTATCTCTCCATCTCTAGCATTTGTTGACACAGCCTTCCTGTCATGGAATCCTGAACATGATCCCAGGCAAAGTGGGCAATTCTCACTAATGTAACCTTAAAATGTTATGAAATTTAACTGAATTGGTATGTCAAACAATTATATTAGATTATATAATTTCTAAATTAATATTTTTATTATTCTTTATGTATCTAAATAAACAATATCAAAGATATATATTTTTTAATATTAAAATATTTGCTATTATTATTATTGTGTTACATTATAATGTATTTTTTTTTTATAATTATTTAAAATAATATTTAATGAATTAATAAATAATTTACCAGCAGAATTCCAAGAAAAAAAAAGTGACGAGCAAAACATATTAATCATTTAACCTTTTGTAAACATTGTCACAATGACTCAAATCCTTTCTTTCGGAGTAAGTATGCATTTTTTTTCAACAGATAATAAAACATTAAAAACTATCCTCCCCACAAATAAGCATATATTTCTGTGGTTTCACTTGGCAATGCTAAATATTAACATAGCTGTTTCAAAAACAGTACTTAAGAAATTATACTAAACCATTTCTCTATGCAAATCAAAGGAACACTTACCAGCAAACACTAACACTGTGGCTAAACAAGTGTGATTATAGATCCACCAGTTTAAGCCAGTTAATCACACACTAAACAGTAAAACACACAAAAACATGCACAGTTATCATACTTTATGATAATATCATCCACACAAAGAAACAACAAACTTTGTAGAGACACACATGGATATGAAGGTCTGAGGGTGTAATTATGCCAGGACTGAGTAAACAACTGGTAACCCACATTCATACATCTAGTACATTGAAAATATGCACCGAGTCTGAACATTTAATCTGAGTCAGGTCTACACAATTAAATCTGAAACTGATGGAAATGTACAGATTGCTCAAGTTTCAGGTGGTAAACAATGTTTTGCCAATCTTCACAATTCTGCTTAAAACTTGACGTAAATGACAGCAAGCATGCGATCTTACCTGTTGGAGCATTTCCTCAGTAGAAATGAGTTTGTGGTGGTGTTCTTCCAGGGAACTTTCAAGATCTCTAATCTTTTCTCCTTGAGCTTCAACCTGGTCAGTGAGAACACTCACCTAAAACCAACAGCCAGCAGACAATGTTCACTCAGGCTAACCTGAAACCTGGGCAGTGTTTCTCTGTCGTTTCCACCGACAGATATGCTCATGACGATTGCAACACACATGCAAACGCAAAGCCTAAACAGCAGAGGGATGTAGTCCTTCAAATGTGTACATCTGAGTTAAAAACGGCCATTCCTTAGCTCTGAGATACTTCCATGCTAACATGTGAGCCTGCTTGAGTTTCAATTGTTTTGAAAATGTCCTTTTGTTTAACACCAACTGAAGGACTGCCAACCAGCAGGACAGGTAAAAGGAGAAGAACAACACCTTGAGGGCATTAGGAGCCAATCATGTTCATCAGTGTTTTAAACAATCCACCAATCAGAGCACAAGAGGGGCAGGACTATGGAGAAGCGCAATTTTTTTGACACATGTTGCAGAGTTAGACAACCTAACTTCTTAAAGGTGAAGTGTTTTTTTAATGTTAAAATACTTTCTTTCACCCCTGTTTAATATGCAGAGACAACTACAAGTAAGCCTTTAATACTCTGTGGTGATTACAAAACAATGCTAGGTTTGTTTGAGCGGCAACTGCTAATAATTCATCTGTAATGTTTTTACTATAGTACTAAATGATTAAATTGTGCTGTGGAGAGGTTTGAGAGTATTTTTCTAAGCAATATGATTTATAATTTTTTTTTGGTGGACGATAAAATGGCTTACTGATTTAAATCCTCATTTTATAGAATTTTCTAGAGACTTAGAGATGAGTTACTTTCACCTGGGCATAATAAGCAACTACCTAGTAGACAACTTAACCACCTAGCAACACTCTAGCAACCATCTAGAATACCCTAGCAACCATCTCGAAGCCCTAGTAACCACCTAGCAATGCCCCAGAAACCATTTAGAATACCAAGTGACCACCTAGAACACCCTAGCAACCACCTAGCTATACTAACAACCATCTAGCAATGCTCTAGAAACCACTTAGCAATGCCATAGCAACCCTTTACAATATCTTAGCGACCACCTAGAAGCCCTAGAAACCACCTAGTAATGCCCTTGCAACAACCCAGACACCCTAGCAACATCATAGAAACAATCTAGAATACTCTAACCACCTAGAAGTCTTAGCAACCACCTAGCAATGTCCTAACAACCATCTAGAATATCATTGCAACATCCTAGAAGCCATCTAAAATACATTGGCAACCTAGAAGTCCTAAAAATGATCTGGCAATGCCATAGCAACCATCTAGAACAGGGTTGGGCAACTTCGGTCCTGGAGGGCCACTGCCCTGCAGAGTTTAGCTCCAACTCTAATTAAACATACCTGCCTGTAGCTTTCTAGTGATCTTGAAGAGATTGATTAGCTTGTTCATGTGTCTTTGATTAGGGTTGGAACTAAACACTGCAGGACAGTGGCCCTCCATGACCTAAATTGCCCAGCCCTGATCTAGAATATCATAGCAACTGGCTACCAATCACATAGAAGCCCAAGACACCACCTAGCAATGCCCTAGCAACCAGTCAGACACCCAAGCAACATCCTAGAAACCATCTGGAATACCCTAGAAATCACCTAGAACCACCTAGCAATGCCCAAGCAACAATCTAAAATACTCTAGTGACCGCATAAAAAGTCCTAGACACTGCCTAGCTATGCCCTAGCAACCATCTAGAATACCCTAGTGACCAACTAGATGCCCTATGTGACGAGTGAGGGCGGGGCCGAGAGCCGTGGGAACGGAGCGAGGACCCTAGAAACCACCTAGCAATGCCATAGCAACCATCTAGAATACTCTAACTACCTAGAAGCCTTAGAAACCCCCTAGCAATGCCCTAGCAACCACCTAGAAGACCTTCAATATAGAAATATTATCATCTGTGGCATTTTTTATGGCATAAAATAACTGACTGATCTATAAATCAGCTGACACATATTCTGGACATATATTTACTGTTAAATCAAAATGTCTGCTTTGGAAAAATCTCTGTTAAATGAACACAAACAAGCTTGCTAGTTTACAGTAAACACATACCGTTCTAAAGCTGATAATGGCTAAACTCTCACTGTGGTGTCCACCATTGTTCCTTGGTAAAATGTTGAGAAACCCCCTAACCTGTCCAAAGTTTGTCCCATAGCTATGTGATCTACAACCATCCCATTGTGCATTAGACAGGCAGCTGTGTCACCCTGGGCTGCAGCGCGGCAGTGTCACATGCCTCTCCGTTCACAGAGACACCACAGTCCCCCGGTTTGACCCTGTGAGGTTTTACAAGCATGTTGGCTAGCTGTCTTCTCATTGTGCTGACATTGTGACTAGTATGCTGAGTTGAAATGCCTTGGAGGCTTGAGTGAAATATCTCACCTGGAGAACCAGAGACTCTTTGTCCCCTTCTAATCTCGCCAGCCGCTCTTGATAGGTCTCATTGTTGCTTGAGCACTGGAGGTTAACCTGTGGAGACACACATGTACATGTGTTTTTACACAGAGAAGTCTTCTGGATTGTAAGTGCAATTTGATCACTTGAAGTGGCTGATTTCCTCATGAGGACCCAAAAGTGTGGGTTGTTTCAGGTTATACTCGCTTTGTGGGGACATTCAGCCCAGATAGCAAAACCTGAATCACACACACCCACACACAGGTTTCCATGTTTTATGGGGACATTCCATAGGCGTAATGGTTTTTATAATGTACAAAATGTATTTTCTATCCCTTTACCCTAACCCTAAATATACCTCTTACATAAAACATTCTGCTATTTTAGATCATTCTGTATGATTTATAAGCTGTTTTCCTCATGGGGACCAAAAAATGTCCACACAAGGTAAAAAATTACTGGTATTTCTCTCCTTGTTGGGACATTTGGTCTCCATAACGTAGGGAATACCAGGTACACACACACACACACATATAGAAACTGAAAGTCAACAGAGAGTTGTGCAAGAGGAGGAGCTAACCTGCTTGTCCACTTTTTTGAGAATAAATGGCTCGCTGCCAATGACAGAATAAACTTCAACAGAGAGAAATACGCAAGTAAGCCAAATACATTTAAGTGTTGTTTTAAAGGTGTTAAATGACATGCTGGCGCCAAAAAAATGAACTGACAGCTTTGACAATAGAAACACAATAAAGGAGCTCATTACAAATTAATGGAGTCATTTGCATAAGGTTTGAGGGTCACAATAACAATGGAAAAAGAAACAACAGCATGTTGTGCCCCAGGGTTGAGATAGATAGGCAAAGACAGACAGATAGATTTTAAATTAAAATTATCATAATTTTTCAGCAAATATTGTGTGCACAATTCAAATGGATGTATGCATGGCTAGACAGACAGAACATATACCAATTTAGCATAACACATTATGGTCACACTTTATTTTAAGGGCCAATTCTCGCTATTAACAAACCATTAACTATGTCTTTTGCCTCAATAAATTCCTAATTTGCTGCTTATTAGTAGTTAGTAATTGTTAAGTTATTGGGTAGGATTAGGGATGTAGAATATGGTCATGCAGAATATGTGCTTTAAGTACTAATAAACAGCCAATATGTTAATAATAGGCATGTTAATTAACATCTAGTTAATACTGAGAATTGGTCCCTATACTAAAGAGTTACCCAAATTATCATAAGCTGAAAAAAGATTAATGATCAAACAAACCTTCTGTCCATCTCTTCAGTCTAAATCAGCAAAAAACACGTCAGTAAATACAGCATGTCGCAGAGTGCGAGATAAAACACTGTCACTTACTTGTCAGCACTAAGCTAGCAGAGCTAGCGCTTGCCACATGGATAATCTCTGTCTTTTAAAAGCTTTTGCTGTGTCCAGGGCTGTCAATTCTCACAATAAAGCTGTCTACTCAGGGTTTGCAGGGCCGGCTGCCTGGAGGAGTTACAGGGTTAAGCTTGTCTAAAGGCAGCACTCAGTCCTCACACATGAGGCTTTCACTGCATGATAATTGCAATCCACAGCAAATTTAAACTCAACCTGAGGTTATTTATTTCTTGGGAAACAGGTAATGAGAAAAAAAGTTTGATATCAGAAGAAAAGAGTGTGATATCATTTAATGTGTTAATGTGAGGAACTCAAAAGGACTTAAAAGTAACAGTATAATTATTATTTATGAAGTGAGGGAAAGAACTACAATCCCATAAAGCATTGCTAATGATATCTTCGTATTAAAAATGATGAATAAGTATATTCATTTAACGATGTTGATCATGTATATATTTAAGTACTTAAATACATGATCAACATCGCACTGCTTCATGACAATATATTGATTGGTAGAGATTCTCTGCAGAATCACGGGTAATGTAGTTTTTCACCAGGAATTCCACTACTTGAACATGATTATTTAAAAAATAATGTGGACTGATGGCTTCAACAAATGCATATACCATCGATTAATAACCTTCACAGTAGTTCTGTCGTTAACGGTTTATAAGTTATCATTAAAATCAGTTCCCTTATGGATAAAATGAATGGGATTTTTACTTTTGGAACTGACTGTTGCCATTCAGTGGCGCTAGTGGTTCATAAAATACACTTCAGCTTTAACCTGGAAACCATAGACATCAACTGGAACATGAATTTACAACCCAAACCAACAGGAAGTGACTTTGTCTCCTTGTTTCAGAAGTCCACTACATGTCCTGATCTATAGTTAATTTAACATTTAGAGCTGAGTTCAAACAGTGAGATTCATGATGCTCTCTAGAGCACCAGTTCAATTGATTACCTCACCAGAGAGATGGGTATAAGCAAGACAACCCAGAGGCCCTGGAATTTCCCCCTTTTCATGTCCCACTGCCTGCTTGCAGAACTGTAAACGCCTGAAATTACTTCAGAAGAAACTACAGTGATCATTATTATCCCACTGTCCAAGAATGCATGACAATATTGAGAGTTCTACAGTACAACCCCTCCCTGCAATACAGTAATGCGTTCCATTCCTCTTCTAAACCACCGTTTTATACTGTTACACCTTGTGAAGTTTAATTACTGTAATTTCTTTCTTACTTTGGAATGTAATGGCTGGTTGATTTTTACATTGTGTACCTTCCTGCAACGTTACAAATACCTGCCCCATATCCGGCTTACTGCAATCCCACAATGTCTTGTAAACCACATCAACCATGGCAAGCAAGCTTTTCAAAGCCTCTTGCACTTTAAGAACAGGTGTGCACATTGATGTTCATACCCCCACCATTAAATTGAATTTTACTGCTTGATTTACTCCTCCAAATATCAAGTGTTAGTTAGTGAAAGCGTTTTTGTTTGTGTTCAAGGGAATGAGCTCAGAATCATTGAAGCTGGACAGGATAAAAAGTGCTTTTGTACTATTGCAAATCACAAGCTCCCGGCACGCATCCTTACCAGCACAATACAGCCTGATGTTTTGAACAACAACAAACAGTTCTACACAAATCTAACCACTCCATAACAGTCTGCTCATCCGAGTAACAGAAACCGCTGCTACTTTCACGTCTATCACTGCGGACTTACGTTTCATGCAACTGCCGCCATCTAGGGTTATTACAGTTAACTTAAATTAAACTATACATTAAACTGAAAAAAAAAAACTTAAACGTTTCAGCATATTTTCACTTAGTTTAACTGTAATATTAATATTGTAATGCTGTGTAATATTGTCATGGTTATGTTTGTTATGTTGCTAGGCCGATTGTTTTGTACATTTTAATGGACTATTATTTTCTTACTGGAAACTTTAAGATAAAATACAGCTAAAGATGGTAAAATAATTTACAGTTAACTTAAATTAAACTATACATTAAACTGAAAAAAAAAACTTAAACATGTTTCAGCATATTTTCACTTAGTTTAACTGTAATATTAATATTGTAATGTTGTGTAATATTGTCATGGTTATGTTTGTTATGTTGCTAGGCCGATTGTTTTGTACATTTTAATGGACTATTATTTTCTTACTGGAAACTTTAAGATAAAATACAGCTAAAGATGGTAAAATAATTTAAACTCATATCAGTATTCCATAACAAATTTTGCAATAATACTGGTTGACTGTGCATGAGAGAAAAGAAAAAAAAAACAGTGAGTAATAAAAGATGAATGGAAATATCCATAAAGTGGATAACTTACAGTAGAAAGCATACATTTCAGCCTACCTTTTTAAGCCAAGTGAAATGCTTATAAAAGTCAATTTCCTTTTCCACGCTGAAGGCCCATCTCGACCCGTTGTAATAAAGGAGCGACTGCAGCGGCTGGCTGAGATCTGAGCTCTGGGTTTCATTGACTGTTCTGCCTGTTTTACAGAGTCGCCTCCTCCTCCTTCTTCTCCTCCTTATATTGGCTGCTGAAGACAGGAGCTCTTAACATGCACAAGCAACTGCACAAACCTCATTCTAAAGCCAGACGTCTATCCGAGACCCCCTGCATCTGCTGCCGAGCCAGACACTTAGATGTTCAGTGTGTGTGTGTGTGTGTGTGTGTGTGTGTGAGCGAGAGAGAAAGAGAGAGAGAGAGAGAGAGAGAGAGAGTGTATGTGTGTGTGTCAGATGCAAAACATAAATCCACAACTTCCATTCCCTGATGTTACATGCTCCAAGACAACATTCTACTCCCTCTTTCACATGCGAAAGGCTCTATATTTGTAATCTTTTCTCTCAGCTTTTTTCTTTTCTCTGTGTGAGATAGCGGCTCTAATTAAGTTCCACTGCAAGTCTGAAACGAAACAAGCCAGTGTCTCTGTTTAAACACAGCTAAAGAGGGAGAGCGGGACATTTAAATTCACACTGCCTCAGCACTCTTCCATCTGTTTTTACTCAAGACTGCAACCCATTAGACCAAAGACCCTGTTTCCTGTGGAAGACATCCATCCATTTCTATGCATTTTTAGTTTTACAAGCAACCCTGCTGTCCAGTTGTCTCCTTCATGGACAAACACAGCTGAGGGAAAGACTGTGAAGGGACTGACAAGCACAAACTAGCCTGTTTAATGCTAGATAACAATATAACCTTGTGATCTTGTCAGGCCTGCAGGTTAACATGCCAATGTAAACTGCTGTAAACAATTATATGCTGAAATTAACTTACTTAAAGGGATTGTTTACTCAACATGAATATTCTGTCATCGTTTAAGGCATGGCCACAATATTCTTTACAAATTCACTTTTGTGTTTCACAGAAGACAATCCTACAGGTTTGGAACAACATGAAGGTGAGTAAATGGTTAACTATCCACATGTTTTCCCTCAAGTATGTGCAATAATACAAAATGCTAAAACATTCAGTATGGGCCTTGTGATGGTTACCAGGCCTGAGATTCAACCAATATGCCACACCATCCCATTACACCCTCTTAGTATTGCCTCGCTTTGAGCATTTCCTGTTTGCGTCATAGGGAGTTTTGCGTACTATGCAGAGCAGTGGGGATACAGACACCCTGGGGACTGTTGTCAAAACGGTTAAATACCTACAGATGAAGTCAACAAACGACACATTGGCTATTTTGCATAAACGTATTCCATTCTAAGTCTTCAAAAACACATTCTTCTGAGCGAGGCAGTCTGCGATTATGTCAGCTATCAAGCATTATTAAAGGTTCCACCCTGAGATCAAGTAGGGACGATGGCATCTTATTAGTGTAGCATGCAACTTATCCAGAGCTTTGAGAGTTCAGCTGCACCTGGCAAAGTCTCTGATCCTGACAGCTGTGAAGCTGGAGATACACCAGACACACGTGCACATGCATACACAAACAAGAGTAGACATTTAAATACTATCAAACAGACACGCTTTACCTACAGAAGCTCAGACAGGTCTCGGGTCAGGTCAGGAGATGAACAACCTCTCTTATCTCGTTTCTGCAGCTGCCCACAAAATCCCTTATGTGCATGTAAACATGGGCCAGATAAGTAGTGTAAGAACAAAGTGTAATGCAGCCCCTTTATCGGACTTGATCGCATTTCCTGCAATGTTTTTACCGGCTGTAATTAGGAAGCATTAGTTTTTTTGATCCCACTCAGACACAGCTCAAAGGACTACTGTGTTGTAGGAGGATCCTGTGGATTTTTAGGAGGCCCCAATAAGATGCGGTCACATTAGCGAAATTTAATGGACAAAAAATATCCATTGTCTAAAGGTAAAAGGATAGTTTACACAAAAAAGAAAATTCTGTCATCATTCATTCACCCTTCACTTGTTATACACCTATGAGTTTCTTTCTTCTGTTGAACACAAAGTCAATGGCTACCAGCAACTGTTTGGTTACCAACATTCTTCAAAATATCTTCTTTTGTGAAACTCACACTGCTTTAAAGCAAGCAGCTTTGCAGTATTAAACAGTGTAAGTGTTGCTTTTAATTAGAATTATGACTTTACTACTTTATATTACTATAAAACAGCTCTCCAGTGCTCTAATTTTTTATGACCTTGACAGACCAAATAGAACAAATAAACCGGACGGGATTTCCATGTCAAAGAAGGCACCTACCCATTACGCAATCACCACGGACCAATGGTAGTTCGAAGGTGTTTACTAGCCGAAACAAACTTTATCAAACAGACGTCGTTTTGACCTGATTTTGTTCGAAATGAAGTGACAGTAGTCAGTATATCAGGGCCTTTAATGTGAGCGCAGCTTTATGGTCAGATCCCTGCAAAAACAAGGCCCTTGATTGATCCTTGAGCTCCACCAACAGGTTGCTTATGCACTTTCTGAGATTTTCTATGTTCATTGACCAAGAAATCACCACAGGCTACTGATGAGAATCATGTGCAAGCATTTTCCATCGGGATACACAAATAACTGTCTAAATTAATCTTGACTGTTTTTGCCAATAACAAATACCAGCAAAACAAGAAAAACACTATTCTGAGAAAGCAAGTATGCATTCATTGTCAGGTTACAGATCAAGAAAATAATCTAGTTAGTATAAGCTGTCAGCAGAGCTGTCAGCCGCAGACTTACCCTAGAGGAGATGAAGCCGAGCTAAAGGTGACCAGATCGTTTTAAATGCAGAGCAAAGAGAAAGGAGAGAATGACTGCGTGGAGAGAGGGATATGAAGGGAAGAGAGGGAGAGAGGCAGGAAGCACAGCCTCACATGTCTCAGAGGGGATCTGAACTCTTTTAAAAACATCCAAGCAACATACAAGCACACGCACGCATGCAAATGCTGGGCCAGAAACTGCCTCTGGGACACATGAGAAATGACCCTGTATTAGGCAAGAGTCTGTACTTAAAGGTATAGTTCACTCAAAACTGAAAATGATCATAATTGTTATTATTCACTCATGTTGTTTCAACCCTGTAAGCTGTTTTTTTTTTAAGATTCTTCAAGCAGCTCTTTTTTTTAATACAGTGACAGATCCGATTAAAAAAAGCACCATAAAAACAGTTCTTAAGACTTGTGCTCACCACATTTGGGTCAGTGAAATCATTCTTTTGAGTCAATTCTTTTTAATGAATTGATCGACTAGGTTCAAAGTTCTAACCTTGAGTTGAACAGTGAACAGCTGACTAGAGGGGAAGATTTTCAGTGAATAGTGATTTTAATTTTAATGATTTCAATTTGTTCGTCACACAAAGAGATTAAATGACTGAAGAGGACTAAGAATATAGTGCACAAGTCATATGCACACAGTGTTCTTATTGTGTTAACTAGTAAAAATATTTTTTGAAGATGTATATGTTCATTTGTAAATTCATTTGTGTAACTAAAAGTAAAATGAAAACTGAAAACATACAAATAAAAGCCAATTTAAAATATTGTATATGGACCACCTTTGTGAAAGCTTTATTGTGGTTTTTTTCGTCCTTTGTTTATATCTTTGTCATTTTTTATTCTACTTTTGTGTTCCTCTGAAGTAATAAAGTCCAGGTTTGGAACAAAAACGAGAGTGAGAAATCAATGCAGGAATTTTCATTGATGGATGAACTGTTCCTTTAAGAAAAAGCTGCTTATTGAATAGTCTTAACACTTGCAGGGTCTTTTTGCTGCTTATAATCCTGACACCACATTTACATTTAAAAAAGTTTTGTTTCCAAAACATGACAAACACAATATATAAAAATTTTCATTTATCATCTGAGAAACATGTTAACATTTGTATCACTGCACGGTGTGTAAATATTTATATAAAGAAAACACTATCCAAATGCTGACTGAAAACTTTAAGATGGCACCAGGCTAAACAGAGAAGCTCAGGAAACATTAAACATCAAACTCCAAATATAATGATTGCTCATGAGTTAGTTATGGGTGAATGAGCTGACCTGAGTTGGAAAGAGGACACTTGTTAAGTGAATTAACTCTGGCTAAGGCTTATATCAGCCAATATAAAAACTGACCATTGTGCCTGAATAACTGTGATACTATTCCAACATAAAATTCACAAACATTTTATAGGCTTTCACTTTCAAGTGCCTCACCGATCCTTTCTCCAGCCACTCAATGAGGGTCTGTGCGGTGGTGCAGGGCAGCTGGGAGCGCAGGGAGTTGCGGTCCTTGTCCCCGGACTGCAGCTCCAGTGCCAATCTCAGCTCCTCAGCCAGCTTGAGAACCGGCAGGGGCCCGACGCTCACAGGAGAGCCCAGATCATACAGCCCGTTACTGAACCCCACTGCAGCCTTGGAACCTGCGGACAGAAATATGAAATGGACTAAATAAAATATAGAAGAGGTTAGATCTTTGGCTTAGTGGTCATACGCTCATATGGGTGACACAGGTTCGAATCTAGCACATTTTAAAAATCCATTCCTTTTTTTTCTTGTCATGTTTTTTATTGTATCATAGTAGCAAAAAGCATGAGAAAAGATACAATCTATGGTACAGCTAGGGCAAAAAGTGACTTGAGTGGAAAAACAAATAGTAAGAGAGCAGGGGAGATGCACCATCACGCCATGTCATACATCATCACATCATATTAACCATCATCACCCACACCACTGCAGCCACGTGTCGCCTCCATCATCTAGCACGACAGTTCCAACCATCCCCATCTGGATACTATGGAATGAGACGAAACTAATTTACAGGAACATCTGGAATCCATCAGGATTCTATAACACTTTAAAAGTGTATGATGACATTGTTCCATTATTTAATGCCAGAATAAACAATCAGAACAAAGAGGCTCACAGTTGACAATGGAGAAGGGCCGTGGTGTCAATTTTTAGCTCATTACACAATATTCCATTAGTTTACATGTCCCGTTAATGTAAGATTTGTATTGTTTCTATATGTCATTACAAAGAAGATAAGTGGGTGGACTAAAGTGGTGCTAAGAGTAATGAGAACAATGCAAATAAATGCTTCTTGTATGCATGCAAAGAATGTGAGACAAATGTACATAACTGTTTATACAAATGAATAATTTGTGCATTCAGGTGCAAGTGTTTTGCTTGGCTGAAGGCATGAAATGACCTTATTGGTTGCATTAATGGAGGGGTGGGGGTGTTGTGCTAGTTACTGAAACAAGCAGTGCATGGAGGGATGCCCTAACAATGCAATTTCAGCTGTAAAACAAAACAAAATAAAATAAAATAAAGATATTTGAAATTATTTGAAAAAAAAAAACAAAAAAAACAATAAAGAGACAGAGTGGTATATTTATTCTCGCTCAAGCTATTCAATATCCCTTAGGTTTTGATCATCAAAAATCACCTAAAATAACAAAACAAAACAAAAACTACTGGAAACCGGAAAGTATGTTAATCACATATAAGGCTAGAATGCTAGTTGTTGGATCATCTTTTTCGTAATCGAGATGTTCCAACTGTCACCAGCAGGTGGAGGCATTTCAAGAACTTTGAGCAACTCTTATAACAACTCTTCTTCATTGTCATGAGTCAGTTAACAGAGCAGAATCAAAGAGACACAACATGCCTGTGGTCATCTCTCATCACACTCTCCTATCTTAAAACACACAAACAGACACTCATTTAAAGTCTAGATCCAGGATTAGCCGCATGGTGTGACATCTGATTACTAAACATTAATGGTTTCAGATGATTTAAATTAATAAGCAATTGATTTATAAGCCTGTGCTATTTGAAGTCCTGAATGTGTAATATTTGGCACATGTAGCCTATTCAGGGAAATTATAACTCATGACTTGCAGGACTACACAGCTAATAGACCATGTGTGGTATGCAAAATGTTATAACATGGTACAAATAAGTTTATATTATGATAACATATCTCATTATATTTTAACTGTAAATGCAATAAATTGGTTTATGTATTAAATAAACACATAGTATTTCTTATCAAGTACCAGCTCAGTGAAAAAAAAAAAAAAATCCAACATGGAGAATACGAAAAGAATCAATAAAAATAGTTTAGTGTAATTAAAAAGAGATTATTTTACACAATAAACATTTATTTTCTAATATTCAATATGTCAATATACTAATGTTCAGAAGTTTTTATATATGTTTTAGGATTTTTTAAAACGTTTTTGAAAGAAGTCTCTTATGCTCAACAAGGCTGCATTTATTAGATAAAAAATACATTAAAAGCACTATGAAATATTATTACAATTTAAAATAACTGTTTTCTATTTGAATATATTTTTTTATTTATTCCTGTGATGATAACGCGGACTTTTCAGCATCATTACTCTTGATCCTTCAGAAATCATTCTAATATGCTGATTTGCTGCTCAAGAAACATTTATTATTATTATTAATGTTGACTTTTTTTTTTCTCCAGGATTCTTTGATGAATTCAACATTCAAAAGAATAACATCTATTTGAAATTAAAATTTAAATTGAATTTTGTAACATTATAAATGTCCTTACTGTCAGTTTTGATGATCACTTTAACATACCCTTGCTTCATAAAATAAATAATTTCTTTCTTTCAATAAATAAGTAATCTTACTGACTAAATTAGAAATATGAGCCCTTGTTTTTTTAGATCACTTTTTATTTTGCGCTTTTTATCCCACATTAAAAGTAAGCAAGCCAACATTGTTTTGCCTAAAAGTTAATGGTAGTGTGACCTTAGGTTATGTAACTGAATAAATAGTGTTTATCACAGATTTTGTCACAGTGAATGTCTCCCTACAGACTGGCTGAGTCCACTGTACCTCTCACTGTCTCGCTCAGACAGCAAACCGCATGCTTCACTCCATCCCCCAGCCTTCATTTGTTGACTGCCCACATTAAACATTTATCCTCTATTAGTTAAATCATCTTGGTAATCGCTGAGCTTGCTTGAGGGGCTACACAGCCCCCACATTCTCTCCTTACCCAGTCCTGTTAAGAGTTTCCCCTCCAAAACTGGCTGCTTTGTTATAAAATGTTGTGCTGAAACAGTAGTGCACTCATTATGTAGCTTGATTAATAGCTTAATGTGTTTTAACATTTATCTACTGTACAGTACATACTACAGGGCTGCCAATAAATAAATACAATTCAAATTTAAAGAAAATGAATTACATGATATGCATTATATAGCATCATATGAATATTTCTGAGACAAGCCCCCAAATTAAGATAACTTACTTAAGACACTACAAACGCATCATTGAACAGATGCTTTACAAAAAGTCCATATATTGTTTTATATACAGTACTTACATATAAATGGAATTGTATATTATATATAAAATAGAAATAATTATATAAATATATTTATTAAAAACATCATTAATAAATATCTAAATACATTACTAAATGTAAAAAAGAAAATAAAAAAGAAGCTGAACTCATTTAAACTCCTTTAGATAAAAATCAATACTAGTTAGTATTGAAATATAATATAATATTAAATACTGAAAAACAAATTTTATATATATATAAAAATTATTATTGTATATTATTTTTAAAGACAATTATATAATTCTAAAAAATATTAATATATTAACTAATTCAAACTATGCAAAGCTTTTTATGCAGCTTTACCTTTGTTCGGCAAGTGCTTTTCTTTCAAAATATCCAACACCATGTAATCCTTTCAAAAAGCTTCACACATGCAGCGTTGAGGGAATCCAATTAGTGTGTATAGATCAAGAGATATATTGAAAAAACATTGTATAGGAGCAGAGCCTTATCTGATCGCTTCCTGAAAAGCAGCCAATCAGAAACAGACTGCAAAATTACCTTTACCTGACCCATTTTTCTGAGAAAATACAATTGCTATTTTGAAATATCCTGTTTGTTATTCAGTAAAGAAGCAATGGACATAATTGTGGACCAGATCATTGCTATTTGGAAGAATGTGATCCATGCACAAGTTCATCAGGAGGATTTCAAATCAGCTTGAAGCTAAATTAAAGTCTTACCAGCAATAATATCATCCATTTGTTCCAAGGCTGCTTCTAACATGTGACTTGCATCTGAGGCCATGGCGCCAGCCATCTACTACATCTGCTGGTTTGCTTCTCAGTGACCTGTAAAAATGTGTCATGTAATTATGCAACATAATGAATAAAAGTCACAATTACAGTTGCTGGGAAAGTGCATTTCGAAATTGAGGGTGGAATAAAAAAATTCCTATGAACCAATCCTATGAATCTCATCTGACGGCAAGTAGCAGCTTGGTGTGTTTAAGACTGTTGCCTTCCTGTACTGTAATGTAACTTGACATTACATAAATTCCCTTGAGAAAATGTAATTTACAACAACATCTAAATACAAATAATATTGTCCACAATGAGAAGGCTATATTTAGAAAATGCAACTAGAAAATGTTGTACGTGTTTGATTGCAAGCTCTCTGGAGCTACAGGATAAAATGGTCTCCATATTAAGAGCTAGTGTTTTCCCAAGCGTTAACCCCTGACTCTCTGCTTTGACGTGTCCCTAGGCAGGTTGACTTTCTCCCTGCGGAACCTCAGTGATGGAGAGAAATTTGAGAATAATTAAGCCTGTCAGGGTCAAGTTTCACCCTATTGTCATGCCTTGCGGCATGTGTAATACGCACATTCATACATATATTTAGGCTCACACACATAAGCAAACACAAACACAAAGAGGCGGCTCTAAATTATGAAAGCCCGTTTCCACCCTACAGTTCAATTGCACTCACATTTACCATTTTTTGGCTAATTTTTGCAAGTGAAATACAGTCATTTCAATAGGAATCCACATAATTGGGAATTTCATGTGAGGGCAAAGGATTCCAAGTTCATCACACAGATTTGCAGCATCTTTTGCACAATGCAAAAAATGAGTGTAATTTTAACTGTAAAATATTGTAAAAACACTACGGACTGTTAATAGGTTAACTGTAAGTTCCCGTACTACATACAGGGAAAAACTGATATAACCGGACATTTCATGTAATTTTTACAGTAAAATACTGTTAAATGTACAGTTTTTAGAAGTAAAAAAGGCAGATAAAATTATAATTTACAATGAAAAACTGTAAACTGATATTCCCAGAATTCCCTGTGTGACACTTCACATTTGAATATTTTGTTTAATAATTGTGTTTCTTAATAGTTTTTGTTATCAGTTATGCACATTTGGGTTTTATGTTGGGTTTTATCTTCTGTTGTTTAATGAATTTTTATTCTCCTCTTCACTTATTATAAGGTGCTGCAGTGTGTAGGGCACAGAAAGGGCTTCACGTCCAATGATATGCAGGTTTGTTCATTTCTGTGCTAATAAATATACAACCCCTCAATGTCCTGAGATTAATGAGAAATAACAACCATTTTTAGATGCCTCACCCACTACAGAAGACCAGGCACTCTTATCTGACCCACAAACTCAGCAATTTCAGGCAATTAAATCAGCCTGACAAAGATAATGTTAACCACAGCAGTTCTCCTGTGCCATCGGTGTTCCCATGCATTACATCTTCTGTGGTTTAGCTTTTTATTTCACCACTGTGGATAATTTCCATTCATACACTACACCTGTGTATGTTTTTCTCCATGGTGTGTTTCACCTGGGCTCAACGCCAGTCAACTACGGTTAAAGAACATTTATATAGGAACAGTACGTGAAGCAAATAACAGATTTAATTCCAAGACTTCATTAAGCAAATCAAGTAGAACTTGCAAGGAATTTTGCTGGCTGTCACAAAAGACCATATAAAATGAAATACACTAAAGTTAAACTCATTCAAATTCTTTTGACACTTAAATCAGAATCAGTACTAGTTAGTATAGTTAAGACAGATTAAGCCAGATTTAAATATATAATACAATTATTAAAAATTAATATATAATAATATAATATATATATAAACATACAATTAACTTATATATATATATAACTTATTATTAATATAATTAATATACATATATATATATTATACACACTAAAATAAATTATATAATATTATATATAAGTTTTAGTATTATATTAAGCATTACAATAAAATATGAATATATTATATATAAGAATTATATTTAAAAACGATATTCTTAGATTATAATACAGAATATATTATTAATAATAAATCATATTATAATTATTAACAATATATTAATAATATAAACAAACAACAATTATACTGTACACACACACCCACACATATATTATTCCATCTACACTATTAATTAATTAATTTATTATTTATTAGCAACAAGGAAATATGTGTAGAACCTGTAATTGGAATTTCTGTCCATCCAAGTAGTGATTATTTTACAGAAATAACAAATGAAATGCTAATGAATCTACGTAACTTACTGTGTTCCTCTAACAAATCTTTCAAATGTTTGATTAACTGAAAAGCAATACAAGTTCTGGAATGTTTCTCACCAGTAAGTCGGTGTTGCTTCTATCAGTGTTGACACATTCCAACACAAGCCACTCCCCTCAGTGTTCTTGATATACGCCACCCAGAGTCAAGAGTTATCAGGTGACTGAACGCCGAGGCTATCTCAATAATGATTGGTGACGTCACATCACACAAGTCACATGTCGGACACTCTTCAAGTCCCTGGTTGCTTACAACCTCTGTATTTACAAAACCTTGATAAGCCAACAAAAAACAGAGAAACTTGTAATCGACGGTACCTTGCTTGAGTTACATAAAATGGTTCTTTCCACCCAAACCTAACAACTGCAGTCTGAATATTTCCGTTCACACTATTTCTCACAGAGATTGCAAGGCCATCCAAACCACAGGTTATTCATGAGGAGGCTTTGATAGGGGAAACACTGATTTTTAATGAAGGTATTGAGCCTGATCCCATTCAACTGCAGTATCCCTCACTCTACTAATATTAATAGCAATAGACTTACATTGAACGAGGGACAAGAGTCATCTAGAGACCAGAATATCATACAGACTTGCCGGTGGGCTATTTTGACTTGGGTCAGTAAGCAACCACCCAGAATACCATAGTAATCTGCCTTATGGCGGTGATGTTTTCATGGCTCTTGCAAGCACAACTCACATTCACAAAAAAAACATATATACTACATAATGGCTAGACACATTTTAAGGAGGAAATATACTTATTTGTTATGAAAACAATGACACAATGAAAAAAAAACTCCTCAAGTAAGCGTTTTTTTCCCCCATGAAAAACATTAATTAATTAATTTATTTTTATATTTGTTTCAAGATGAAATATGACCTTTGTTTTCAAGGGATTCACCAAGTGAGATTCTCAGGTCTAGAGTTGTTGTTTGCTTTACTTTGACATGTGACAGGTTTCGACAATATTCAAGTATTTGCTCTAGATATCACTTACAAGCAGACACTTCAACAATCTATAGACCTTTTGGATCCAAAATCCTCTGATATATTGTGAAACCAAACAAGCACACTAATTCTCTTATTGTGTTTTAACAAGCTACTGCTATTCATCATGGGATTCAAAAACTGTCAAGAGACTGTGGGCCCCAGGTCTGGTGCCAAAAAGCAAACTGTGGTGTTAGAATAACCGTTCTACTTAATTTACTCCAGGATGTTTAGATTAGCAAACAGAAGTTACTGTGGAAAGTCCCTGTATTTTGGAGCTACGCTGCAGTTAATGATGAACAGGCTCATCCAAGGTTATCCCTTACTAAAATGCAGGAAAATTGTGATGAACATGTTTGGGGTGGTGGATGCATTAATGAGTAATCATTAGTAAACCTGAATAGCAAATCAGACATCAAAATTCTATCTAGGCTTTCGCTTATTTAACTCTAAATTTGCTGTATTGTGCATAACAGCTTTTAAATACAAATTTATATAAATAACTATATTTGAGGAAAGGCTTATTTTCTTACTTTGATAACAGTTATCTTACTGTAAAAACAGTTCCTATTAAATGTTAAAATATTATTGTCGTTCAAAAGTTTGGGGGCAGTAATATTTTGTTTATTATTACAATATTTTAGAAATTAATACTTTTATTCAGCAAGGATGAATTAAATTGATCAAAAGTGACAGTAAATATACATTTACAATGTTACAAATCAGCATATTTGAATGATTTCTGAAGGATCATGTGACACTGAACATTGGAGTAATGACTGCTGATAATTCAGATTTGCCATCGCAGGAAACATAAATATACAATTGTAATAATATTGCACAATATTACTGTTTTACTGTATTTTTGATCAAACAAAAGCAGCCTTGGTGAGCAGAAGAGACTTCTTTCCAAACATTACAAAATCCTACAGACCCCAAACTTTTGAACAGTAGTGTATATAAAATGTATATTAAATAGATGATAGATAGATAGATAGATAGATAGACAGACAGACAGATAGATAGATAGCCATTCCTTAGAAGTATTTTCCATGTTGTTTAAAAATTCTCACTATGTACAGTAAAAGCAAAAGCAACACATAGGTGTCAGACCAATAAACCCAGCACGTCAACACAGCTTAAAATGAGAACATCAAAGGCAGCAGTCCTCAAACAGCTTAACCGTCCCTACTCAGCACTCTGCATTAAACCATCCCGACTCGTGTGTGTGTTCAGCTGACGGGCTGACATGTCGCGTGGCCACCGCGCATCCCTTGGTTAAACACAATATAATGGCGGATAGGTGACCTGTAGTGCAGTTCAAATGCAGTGGCTGACACAAGGCCTCATTGTTGTGGGATCTGTATGCTCTGTGTGAGGGAAGACAATGAGACGACTGTTTATGCCATGGTACAAGCAGGTTTAGGCTCTGCCGCAAGCTCTACCTTCTTGATACAGGTTACTTTGCATACATGTTAAGTCATCCACAACAAACCCAGTTCAAATAACAAGGAGATAGAGTTGCAGCACCGTATGACTACACTGAAAAAAAAATTGGGGTAGATTTCCCTTGATACAATTTTCATTCAGAAACTGTTAGAAAATGTTACAATTAATTACATAGATATGGAGGACTAAACTGCAAACTGCAAAAACTATAAATAAATAAATAACATCAAAACAATTCATTTTTCATTCAATTTAGTCCTGAATTAATTTTTGCATTACTTTCCCACCATTTATTTATTATCTTTTTTACTTATTTTAACAGCATTTTTATTTTCATTTTTTATTTTATTTTAGATTTCTTTATGTGCTCATTTAGTTTTTTGTTTATTTATTCCAACTTTTATTTATTTCCATTTTATTCAAAATAAAGCATGGCTATGACCGCTTTATTTATTTTTGTATTTATTCTTACATTTCTGTCTCTTGAATGATAATTAGGTGGGTTGGTCTTGTTTACCATTGGTTTATCATAGATTGGTTTATCATAGGTTGAAGTGTGTGCTCCGATCAGCAACAAAATCTGACATGAACTGCCCCATAAATGTTTCTTATGCTCAAACATAGTTTTTATATATATGATAATTATATATATATGGAGAGAGAGCGAGAGAGAGAGAGAGAAGCTTTGGGCCTCCTTGCAAAGAAACAGCAAGTAACAATAAATTACAAACAACATTTTTAAGTATAAAAAGACCGAAATAGTATTTTCTTGTAAAGTACTCCAATAATCTTCTAAAATATTTTTTTTTACAGTGTACACTACAGGCGGAGTAGCGTGATCATCAAGCGGAAAACTGAGAGGAAGCTTTGTCGCATTAATAAAGAAGTTTCCACATAACACTTCCACACATATTAACATCAGAATGTCCAAGAGATCAAAACAGCTCTGATATTACACGCATGGACCGCCATTCTCAGAATGATTCATGACTCAGTGTAGGCGGTTGTAAGTTCGATTCGGGCTCAACCCCTGCCCGGCCCCAAGCTCTACTCACCGGAGCGGATGCGTTGTGGCAGCTGGCTCGAATGCTGCACTCCTCCGCAGTAACAAGAGAAATGTCAGTCCTAAGCAGGTGCATTCGACTGTGGTACCGAGGCCCGTGAAAATGTCAGTGAGCCGCTCGGCACAGGAAAGCTCTGCTCATGGGGCAAAACATCACAGTTCTATCCTACAGGTCCCTGACATCAATACCGTCCAATGCATATTGCATGGGATCTCCATCGCTCTCTATCTCAGTCCGCAGAATGGGGTTCACACAAAGTCAGATGTCAACTGCAGATGTTTAAGAACTGGAACGTCATGGAAATCATTTGGTTCCAGTGTTTTGTACAAAATGTAACTGGGAATCGTATATAAATACCTAAACCAAGAGGATGGACACATCAAAATCTAAGAGTGACAAGAGAATTCATATAAATAGCTCAAAGAGTGACAGCTGAAATGAGTGATGGGCACTTTTAGATGCTTATTAAATGGTATTTAACTTTACAAGCCTCCAAAGAGCCTCAGAATACAAAATCACACTGAGGATTGCAAAGCATTAGGTGGCATATTTGATGAAATTAAAACTCTGGCATTATTTACTCACCCTCACATCGTTCCAAACCTTACTTTCTTAATTCTGTAGAACACAAAAAAAGATATTCTGAGAAATATCTCAGTGTATTATTATCCATACAATGAAAGTCATTGGGGTCTAACTATCTCTTTTACTAACAAAACAACTAACAAAAAATATATTCTAAGAACGTTTTGCTAGTTTTTTTAGAACATTATTAAAGACCAGATAACTTTGAACGAACATTGTATTAACATTACTAGAACAAAGTTTGTTCATAACTTCTGAGAACGTTCTGAGAATTAACTGTGTTGATCTCAGTGAGAAAATAACTACAATTTTCAAATTATCATTCTGGGAACCATGTTTTGACGCTGGGATGCTGGTTTAAGCTGGTCTTTTGCTGGTTTATGCTGGTCCTTTGCTGGTTTAAACTGGTCCTTTGCTGGTGTAAGATGGTCCTTTGCTGGTTTATGCTGGTCCTTTGCTGGTTTAAACTGGTCCTTTGCTGGTGTAAGATGGTCCTTTGCTGGTTTATGCTGGTCCTTTGCTGGTTTAAACTGGTCCTTTGCTGGTGTAAGATGGTCCTTTGCTGGTTTATGCTGGTCCTTTTGCTGGTTTATGCTGGTCCTTTGCCAGCACATGACCAGCATAAACCAGCAAAAGGACCAGCATAAACCAGCAAAGGACCAGCTTAAACCAGCATCCCAGCGTCAAAACATACCTAACCAGCATATGCTGTTTTTTTCAACAGGGAATGAAACGGTTGTGGTAAAACTGGTCAATCAGGACATGTATGTGCACCTCTATGGAAATAAGCTCACTGTAATCACACAGTAGAAGAGCCTGAGGGCTCTGTGTCTGTTCACAACAACCATATGAACGTTCTCCTTCACCTGTTCTCATAAACTACTACTCATGTTCAACCTTGCCAGCACTAATAATAAACCAAAAATCAACATCTTGCTTTGAATTCACTCTTACAGGAAATGATCACACTGCTAAGATGCTAAAAACTGTTAATCTGTAAGCAATATTCACTGATCTTCCTCAAAATCTCTTTCTGAAAACAAAAAAGTGAAGATCAGAGGGATAGAGAATGAAGTCAAAGGTCATGAAGACTATAAAGGCTTGTACATTTTTCAACCTTAAACAGCTACACATTACAACATGATCCTTTAAACAAACACTATAACATCTAAAATTTCATCCAGAATATATTAAACTCTATTTCTAAATGCTTTAATTTGGCAACCATTCTACAGTGGTGTCATCAAAGAGCAATACAGTGCTTACTTTTTCTCTAAGCACATGATCTTCACAGACAGCTTTGTTGAACCCCACAGACATTACCAAGTGAAATCTCCATTGCAGCACATAGTGTGACTGCTCACTGAGCCCAATGGGGTCAGTACTGAAGGAAGAGGCTTTATACTCTATAATAAAAACTGGCAGTAAAACAAACATGGACAATGAAGAGTAACAAGCAGAGACAAGAACTGTAATAGGCTTCATTGCAAAACAAGTAGCAGAATATTTTGAGAATATGCGGTCAAATAATGGCTCGTCTGAGACAGTTCATCCTACACTGTATGACCCAGTTATCTACTGTACCCTGATCCTTCAGGATTTGACAGAGCGATCACGTCTGTGTTTAAGTTTCTGGTCAGTGGTTATTTCTCTTTGGTCTTCATAGTATAGCGTAGTGGTGTAAAAATAATGTACATAATGAATACAAGAAAATGTTAAATATAAATTAATATATATGCAACTACATTAGGGTATATATTTTTGCATTAGATATTAAACTTCAGCTGGTCATCATATTAGCTATAGCATATGTGTGTGTGTATTCGTTAGATGTAATATATTTAATTACATTTTCATTATATATTATGTATATATACACAATATTAATATTTAACTTTTCTGACATATACACAATAATGTGATTTTTATTCATGTTAAGCATATTTTGCAAAATCAGGAAATGCTGATTCTTTATAATACACACAAATACTTAAATGTATCAATAATAATAATAATAATAATACAATGCAAGAAATTATAAATTAACTTTTTTAATTAGCCTACATTTTTTTACGAGGAACAATGTTACTGCACCTAAACTTTCTTGATATTTTTTATGACACTACACATGGGAAAGACTACTCAGTACTGCTTAAAATTATGAAAAAGTTATTCTGTACCAAAAAAGCAATGTAGACAGGATGCTTTTTAAAAATCAACTTACCTGTAGTATAATTCCCGACTGGTTTTAAATCATCCTGTTGTCAGCTGGCGTACCGCTCATGTGTTATCATCGAGCTGCGCTGCTCCATATACAGTAATAAAGCCATATGAGGGACATTTCCTCTGACCAATCACCTGTCATGTACTGTAAGAGGCGGGTCTTATCGCGAAACGAATTCCATATTATGTGCAAATAAACTAAAATAACCCTCATTATAATGCGGAAAAGGTATAGTGGAACTCTTTTAATTTAGAATAGGTAGCAAGGGGGTAATATTTTAAGAAGCACAAGAGCGGTAAAAGAGGCTTTCTTCTTTAGTTTCACGTGTCACCGATAAACGATAAAATAAGCTCATAAAATAAACATTTCAATACGTTGTTTTGTTGTGTCGCATTTGTCTTCAAATATGCTCCGTTACAACTAGTGACAGCATGTTCAGGTGGTGCTGGAAATCTGTATGGAGGATAGAAGCGCCATCTTCTGTGCAAGGTCACAAATACAGAAAGCATGTACAAGTGCGCATGCGCGTAACGTATATTTAGTGAATGTAGTGCGTGTTTGCAGACTTTGTACATAAATAAGCATAATTATTTAGATGTCCTCCCTAGCAATCTCCTTAAATTATTTTTTAAATTCTTACAGAAGTAGCCTACTAATCAAGAAATGTCAAGACAATGTATTGATCAAAAAAGGGTGGGAAACAAAGGCCCACAAGAAGTATTTCATGCAGTACAAATGAATTAAATGGTTAAATAGTAGTTCAATGATTATTTATTGCCAAAATATGTTATAAAAATAACACACAAATTGTGCTTTGTATAGTGCACATTATAAATGTAATATTTCAGTCCATGATCTCCGTCCACCTCAGAAACACCGTGAATTTGAAAGGCAAATATGTTCTGTACAAAATATTTTCTTCAAGAGACACATGCATTGCAGATATTCTTTTTCATTTAATGCTATTTATTTATAGAGTACTGCTGTTAGATAAGCATCTTTTACTGTCTCAAATGACAGAATATGATAGTTGCAGTTCTCTGACTGAACCGAGGAGGTCAAACAGTCCTTTGTTTTTCAGGAAATGACAGTCTGGCATAACTACAAAGTGCACTACAAAGTGCTTTCCACTAAATTACAAGCAGATTACATGTGATTGGGAAAAAGAACAAGGCACTTCTGGTTAAAAGGACCTCATTGTAACTACCATGTAGAACGGACCTATCCTATATCTTCTTGATTTCTAACTTATAGATGGTCTGATAACCATCATACCAAGCATACAGTTGCTTATCCTTTGGGTGGAAACGCAAAGTGGAGTGGCTGGTGTAACGCTTTGGGAAGAAAAGCACAGGGATGCTCTCGGTGTAGATGGTGTCATGGATATCAAACAAGCATTGGATGCTTGACCTTCCACCATAGTGGGAGTTGTAAACCACATATAAGGTGCCACAGATTATGAAAGCTGCTTCTGCATCACGGCTATTGCAGTTGGTATCCCAAGTGTGCTCCACTGCCAGACTACTGTGGTCCAGCTTGGTGATCACCAAGTTGCCGCTGAAGTCTGGGTCGGCATGGATTGACCAGAGCCCCATTTCATCTACGGCGAGATCCAGCAGGGTGTGAGGATTGAGGGAATATGCCGGCATCCGACCGGCTCCAGGAAGCAGCAACCGATCAGCCACTGTACGGTTGCTGAGATGGACCTTCAGGATCTCATTGTTGGTGTCTGCGTTGTGGTAGTACACAAAGCCGTTGTAGACCACATGGGCGGTTCCATGCCAGGGAAAAGGAAGACGGATAACTTCTGTTTTTTTGGTGGAGTTTGGTTCGGTGAAGGTCTTCAGAGAGGTATATGCTAATACTGTACTGTTTCGAGTACCACTAAAAAAGTAAATATTAGCAGAACCCTTCGTCGGATCCTTCATCCAGGATCCATTGGCGTCACCTGCTTTCTTGACAATTTTGACAGACTTGATACCCACAACCTCTGAACTGCAGTCTGGAAGAATCAAGGTTAAAAAAAAAATCAAGTTTATGTAGCTATAGCATATAGTAATTATTATATAATTATTTATAATGATTATATTTATATATGATTATATATAGTAATTATGTAGGTTATGCTTTATGTCTTTGCACAACCATATCAATTATGAGGCAATAGAGATTTTTTTTACATTTATCAGTGTTAGTGTTGGTTTTATAATGAATATTTAATTTTGCATGGTCATTTCCTCTATTTTTACATTTAGATTACTTTTGCCATCATGTAACGCTCATTTAAAGTTATTTCTTTTAATAACATTAATACTGTAATACTGTATTTAACACTGTTAATCTTAAGCAAATCTCAAAATGAATATACATTTTTCATACTGTACATTATAATGTTGTGATGCCTAAATTCACTTGTAGCATTTAAAATATTTGTTTTGGTTTTTAGTGTATTAATTCATTTAGACAAAATAGTATAGAATTTAAATATTGGTGCATACTTTCTTGAAGACATTAAAAAATTAAACATCTCAAATGCAATCAAATTATACAGTTTTCCTCAGGAAATGAAATCACCTTCATTTTTACGTGTAATGCACATATAAGTGCTACCACTAAAAAAATGACTTAAAAATGAAAGTTGTAGAGCTTAATTAACATCTTATTTACCTTTGCCTTTAGGGATTACAGTTGTCTTTTTTAGTTTGGCTTCTTTCACCTGCTGCTCGAGCAGTGAGTCCTCAATGTCAACCTGAACCGTGTCGGGGATCTTATTATGCAGGTATTCCACATCTCTTTCCACTCGGTCCAAACGCAAAGCGAAGGTGTCAATGTGACCTTTGACCTCTGATTTTAACACATTCATCTTGCTTGTTTCACTGTGTATCTCCTTGGACATGTCATACATCCTTCGACTGAAGTGCTGGAAGTCTTGCTCACATTTGATCAGTCGTCCCTTTTCAAATAAATGCACAAAAATACCATGTGATCCACTGATCACACTATATTGCAACTTAAAATTAAAACATAACATGACTGATAAAACATCTAATATATTTTAAATGTTGCACTATAGGTTGCTTGCTAGAAACTGTTTAGTTTGAATACAAAACATGCTTTTTGTTAACCAGCTAAACCTTGAACCCCTAATTTGGCCAAGTTGGACACAGATCAACATCCTTGTTAGTCTTGGAGAAACATTTCAAATTATCAATCACATTTTAGAGAAACAGAAAGGGTTAGGCTTATGGCATCTGAATATCAGTGTTATCAAACTGTTAGATTCTTCTGATTTTATGACTATTTTAGAGTTAGATTGAGGTTATGTTGTAGGAATATGTAAAAAAAAAAAAAAAGACGCAGGAACACATTGAACTTACGAAAAAGAATTGTAAAAAGAGTTGTGTTGTATCTGAATGTTTAGTTCATATAAGCTATACTCATATATTAAGATATTACATTGGTTTCTGTTAAAGCATGTAAAAGAACAAATGTATTTGGCCACAAAATCTTAAGAAAAAAATGTCTTACCTCAAGCTGCTGAAGTTGTCTCTGAAAATATTCCATAATAAAATCAGGAGTTGTCCTCTGAGCTTGTCCCGTTCCAAGCAAAAGAAATACAGTTACCAAAGACAAAAGCATGATGTATATTTTCACCTTTGATTTCTTTCTTGTCTGGTTTAGTTTATGTTATATAATAAACCCAAGAAAACTCCCTTCTTATCTACAATGTCAGTCTGGTAAAATGGAGCCAGATGGAGTTCCAGAAGCAACTGGTTGTTTGTTATTCAAATTCTGGAACTGTATTCGAAGAAAGATGCTGAAAAGGCAGGTCTTCACAAGCTGTGTTTTTAATAAACTCCAGATGTCCTGACATGCTTTCACTCGATAAATCAACTCTGCAGATCATACGATTCAAATTATTGCATATTTAGAGTATAATATACACCATACTTGCCTGTCTCCCCTTCAATTTGTTTATTAGCCTTTTAAGAGGTCAAGTTGGAAATTTGAGAACGGGAAACACATCAGGACACCTTCAGTCTGGCTGTCCAAAATAACTTCAATGTTGGCACACAAGCAGACATTTTCCTGCCAAATAAGTGATGCTGGAAACATGACTTTATTCTTGGAAGAATTCTCAAAGCTCAAAGGAACTGTGTGTTTTTTCTTAAAAATACTGAATCAGTTGTAAATTCAACTATATATTTTGAACCAAAACCTGAATTAAGGAGTTTGAGCCTCACACTAATTCATTAAAAAATAAATAAATTAAATAATTTTATTTGAATTGGTCCAACAATCAAAACAAAAAATCAAAACAAAACACTATTTAGGATTAAAATATTGCTAGATTCTTTTCAAATAGTTGCACCTCCAAGAGAAATTGTAATGTGGTGATTCTGTTTGTCCATCAGATGGCGCCTTAAGACAAAAACAACAATGTGAGCTCTGGGAACAGGATTCACGTGTCCATTGTTGATTTTGTTTGCAAAGACAATGAGAGTGTGTTTACACAGATTAGAGATGTATCCGTTTTCCAGCATCTCTGGTTTTTCAGTGATTATCTGAAATTCAGCATTTCCCTTGTATGATTCCCTTTAGACATATATATGCTCCTGACACCACTGGCCCAAATTCTGCTAGTCAATTATTTAGGCTTGTATATAATGACATAATTCAAAATTGTGTCTTAAATAGAAATCACAAAACAATCCTTTTGCATTAACTACAGTATCAGATCAAATCTTCTTTACATATGCCTCATTAATTTGCTGTGGGTACATTTTTTTTATTGTACTATTATTATTATTTTTTAATTTAAACTGAAATGAAAATGAAGCCTGGGCAATTGTTAAAAATGAGGGTTGATTGTCACGAGGGGACTGAGCTAGTGGTCAAAGAAAACACAGCAAAGGGAAAGTGACAGGCTCAAATGATGTAGAAACATCTGATGTGGAAACTTTTGTGGCCTAATTCAATCACAACTCTGCAAATTCAAGGACTTGATTTACTAAAATAAAGCACACTGCAAATGCATGAAGAGAAAATCAACAACAACAA